ACCACTCTTCTCCTGATAATTTTCTCCATGACTTTGCATACTATACACGTCAGTGACACTGGTCTGTAGTTCAATGCTTCATATCTGTCTCCTTTTTTTTTTTAAATTGGGACTACATTTGCTGTCTTCCATACTTCCGGTGGTCGTCCTGTTTCGATAGATGTGTTGAAGATAGTTGTTAGTGGTACACATAGCGCCTCTGCTCTCTCTCTCCAGGACCCACGGAGAGATGTTATCCAGCCCTATCGCCTTTGAGGTGACTAGCTCGCTTAACAGCCTCTTCACTTCTTCCTCAGTTGTATGTATTGTGTCCAACAATTGATGGTGTACCCCATCTCTTTGCCTTTCTGGAGTCCCTTCTGTCTCCTCTGTGAACACTTCTTTGAATCTCCTGTTGAGCTCCTCACATACTTCGCGGTCGTTTTTTGTGACCTCCCCTCCTTCCTTCCTCAGCCTGATTACCTGGTCCTTGACTGTTGTATTCCTCCTGATGTGGCTGTGCAACAGTTTTGTCTGTCTGTCTGTTTGTGTGTCTGTCTGTGAGTGAGTGAGTCTGTGTGTGTGGAGATATTTGTTCTGGGTTAAAAAAATCTTTTTTGAGTGGAGTAATAGTGGCGGCATTGATTTAGTAAGTGGGTGGATTTTGAGTGCCTTACCTGGGTGTCGTTTCCAGAGCGTTGGTGTAGCTGGTTTATGATATGTGAATACTGGCACTTTTTTAACTGTTTTTTTGGTTAGAAGTAGAGAATAAAACGATGTTTTATTTTAGAAATTGAGAATGAAACAATCTTTAGGCCAGACACAGGTAATAAAATAGTATTTTAGTAAAAAAAATAAAGGATAAAACAGTTCACTACATGAATGAAAATTTCAGTATTGCTGTAACCACTGCTGAGTTTTATTAGTGATCTTTGTGGTTTATAGGAAAGTGTTTATCTAGAAGGGGCGATGCAGCGTCTAGGAAATGGGGTGGTTAGGTTTTATCCAGGGAGAACGTGGTTATAATTCCTTGAAAAGCCATTTACCAAGATCGAGTCTTGCACACCTGATTGATGTAAGACTTGGTACTGATATGAGACCCCAGAATGGTCCACAACAGACCAAAACAACGTCTGAAGTTTGCTTTTCAGAATTGTGAGTGTTGTGGTAGATATGGTGATGATGAAGCCAGGTATGATTATGAGTTGTGTATGGTAGGTATGGTGATGATGAAGCCAGGTAAGATTGTGAGTTGTGTGTGGTAGGTATGGTGATGATAAAGCCAGGTAAGATTGTGAGTTGTGTGTGGTAGGTATGGTGATGATAAAGCCAGGTAAGATTGTGAGTTGTGTGTGGTAGGTATGGTGATGATAAAGCCAGGTAAGATTGTGAGTTGTGTGTGGTAGGTATGGTGATGATAAAGCCAGGTAAGATTGTGAGTTGTGTGTGGTAGGTATGGTGATGATAAAGCCAGGTAAGATTGTGAGTTGTGTGTGGTAGGTATGGTGATGATAAAGCCAGGTAAGATTGTGAGTTGTGTGTGGTAGGTATGGTGATGATAAAGCCAGGTAAGATCACTGAGGACAGGGAGGTTGAACCTTCACATTCAGGGTGAGCGTGGGAGGCGCAGCTCTGACACAACACATAAACACGTATTTCTTTTTTTATTATTAAACACAATCGGGAACACCTACATTGTGTTGCTTCCCAAAAGTATGAAGATTTTATTTAAATTATTAACCCAGAGAGTTATTACCCTAGGATAACCCAAGAGAATCAAGCTGTGTGACCTATTATATTGATTATTTTCATCATTATACAACCCACAACAGTCGGTTAATACCCAGGCTTCTGCTTACTGTTATGTGAATATAGGCAACAGGTATAAGGCAACATTTCCAACGTTGCCCTGGTCACCTAACAGTCAGTAGGTACCTGAGTGTTAGTCGACTGTTGTGGGTGGCATCCCATGGCGTGTTAGCATGCCTTCAGGCTTGATTTTGGAATGAGCTGAGGTTGGATAACAGCTCACAGCCTGTAAATTTATCTGTGTAAAGAAGGGAAAAAAAACAGTCCTCGGTACTGCAACATCCCCACCCGTCCTTCAGAGTGCAAGCACTGTGCTTGCTACTCCCATGACTCAAGTTTGGCTAGATAGTTTCCCTTGAATCACCACCATAAATGTAATGTAGCACACATTACAACAGCATGTTAAATTCCTAAAACCACTTGTCTCCATTCTGATGTAATACACTCACACACACCTGCTGGATACTGAAGCTCCTGCCACTCAGAGCTTCCTTCATCCCTTCCCTACAACCCTTCCTGAAGTATCACTTACCCTTCCTTCCATCCATCCTGGATTTATGAACCCTCTGGTCACCCTATTCTGTTCCTTCCTTTCTAAATTACCAAACTATCTAAATAATCCCTCCTCTGCTCTTAGCAATACATTTCATTCTACTACACACTGTCATCTAATTTCTATGCTGCTTTTTCTCTCCATAATATTCACACCACTCATTAATCCCAGACATATCTCTACTGCCTCCAGCCTCCTCCTCGTCTCTCCAACTTTTAAAGGCCGTATCACACACCCATTATTAAAATTATTAAAATGTTGGCACCACTGTACTCTGCTACATTCACCTTTTATTTTTATTGATAAACTTATTTTTTTTCCAAAGACGCCTCAGCACTCGACAAGCTACCGTTTTCTTGCCTCAGTGTTTATATTCGCGTAGTCTGTCAACATCGCATCTACTGACACTATATAAATGCTTGTATATTCGTCGGGAAGCGCTAAATCAGTTATTATGCCTCGTTAGTTAGTCTAATATGTTTATTATGCACCCCATTCCCATCCTGTGGGCGCTAGTCAAAAGATTACAGAGGTAGATAATGGGTCCAGGGACTGGGTCCCAAAGTTTTGATAGTTGAGCAAGTTACAAAGGTAATGAACTCCAGTGGCAATGAACCCACAGTGCTTAATAACAATGTTTTTTTTCTTTTTCTTTCCTTCAAGTTCCTCCAAAGTTTGTGTGTGCTAACTTAAGAACGCCTCTTGTGATCGGCTTCAAATTTCCAGCATTGATGTATCTTACTGGACTGTGTAAGTTTTAATTTACCAATTTAATTTAAAAAATGAGTTCACAGAGGAAATTTGGCGGAAGGTTCGTCGACTTTTGCAGAGATCTGGCGCTCTTCCTCTGTTACTCGGCACTGGACTGGTAAGGAAGTTTATTTAGGTACAATTACACATAAGTACAATTACATAAGTTTTATGTGATTACAGTTGTCTTCCGATGGTCCTCGCCCTTGGGTGCGTCGTCCCCATCACAGGGTATGTAAATGACTCAACTCCGGGTTGGGAATTCACAGCTGGCAGCTCGTCCTGTCCATGATGTTCCTTTCAGCCTGAGAACCTGGAGCGCCTCACTTTCTGGGTTGGGTGAATTACACATAAACAGCGAAAACATTTTACAACGTTTTGTTCGCTGTGGGACTTTTAACCCGCCTGCAGCAAGCAATATGTTAAAGAAAATGTTTACTCTGTTTGATTCATTATTTGTTACCTTTGGTAATATACTACTTACCGCCGCTGCTGCTCTTGAAATTATTGATCTCCATTTCTGGACCTCTTGGAAGGGTTTAAACTATAGCTCCCAGGTCTGTTAAGGGAGTTGAGCTGAAGCTTCACCAAACCAATTCGACTTTCCCACCAGCTCCAGTTGGTGAAGAAATCTAGTCCCACTGCCGTCATATGCGCTGTTATGGCCCTCTTACAATTCAAGTTTCTCTTGAATCGTTTCAGTGCAGGTCGGACTGAAACGTCATCTTCAGCTCCAGTTTCCTATGTGCGGGTTATTTGTGTATTATTCCAGTCACGGTATTGTGCCTTTTTGTTCTTTCTAAGCCCTCTTTTCGTTCTTGCGAGGAGTGATTGCATCCCTTGACCTCTCTGGGATAATGGTCTTCTCCGTATTACTCTTCTGCCCCTCACACCCACCCCATGCATGCTAAAGTGGACTTTATGGTCACAGGCACAGATGCCCGTTAGCTTAAAACCTTCAGTTACCTTGTCCATGTCTCCAAGAGATTCTTGAGTTGGGATATTCACCCTTCCGTGGGCCGAGATAGTGGTCTTTGTTTACACATGTTGTATGCCAGCCTCAAAAAGTTTACGAACTCTGCACTCATGAGCAGTAACTCAAGCTTTCATTCACTCGGTGGACAGAAAATTAAACACACCATTATACAACACAGGAAGACAATAGTCCATCTACATGTTATCCTCTGCAGTGAGCAGCTGACGCTTGTAGTACCGCAGGTTAGGTACGGTGCCCCAGTGGTGTGTGGGGCACTCTGCAAATGTAGGTTTATTTAGGCACAGGCACACATAAGTAAAATTATCATACTTAGTGTAAATTACCTAGGATAACCCCAAAAAAGGTCAAAGTGACATTGTTTCCATTGCGGTTTCCCCCTCTCGTCTGGGCGAACAAATTCCACCTGTACATCGTCAGTTGATAAAGGTGATAGGCCGAGTATATAGGCTGGGTCGTAGTTCGACAGGCGTTACAAACTAAATGGTTATAACTATGATCATATCTTTCCAAGGGGTGGACCTGTTAGCTAGCGGAAGGCCTCGGGCAGATGACCAGAAGCTCCAACGGCGGGTCATCATCTGACTAAGACCCGCGTCTGGAAACACTTGTCCTGTTTCTTGATAAATCTTACCTACCTTCGGCAGGCCTGTGAAGCACCACTTCAAATGGATTTAACTGTTTTCAGTGGTTGTAGCACAAACATTAAGAATTTCAAATCATGTATCTTGAGATGTTATCATTTTGCTTCGTGGTGCTAAGCTGAGCTTACTAAGGCTCGGGTTACATGGATTGGCGTGGAAATGAGCCTGTCTGGAGCTCTTATACACGTCCACTACCCTGAAGCGTACAGCCAAAACTGTTCAGTTTAAGGCCAGTGACTTCGATGACTAAGATCAGTCTCCTTTCTTGCAGGACGCCCTGAAGATGGCGCTGACGGCTGGAGACCGACCAACACACGCCCGCTGTCTGTCCATTCTAGCAGACATCCACAGACAGTGTCTGGATGTGCAGGTTAGTCATTCTAGTATAATTATTAGGTAACCTTGAAGGAGTACCTTTGAATGGTTGCCTGCTTATTTCCCCTCGAAGCCTGATCATGGAACTGGCCGCGGGTTCGTTGACCCTCTGAACACCCACCAAGTATTCTTCCTGTAAGATTTTCGTGTATAACTAGAGCATGCCTTATCTGATCGGTACCAAATTTTCTATGCTGGTGTACTGTAACAAGAGAAAGGTTCGTGTAAGTTATGGCATGTGCAGATACACACTGATCATATTTAAATAGTCCATTCTCGATTTTTGGTTTCCATACAGTAACTTGAAAGCCTCTTCTGATCGGCTTTAAACTTCCAAGACTAGTGTATGCTACCTAGTAGAAGGTTGGGGTTGGTATTTGAGTGTGTAGGTTCTAATTTGCCAGAGTATTAACTTTTTGTGCATTAAGTTGAGAATGCATTTTCTGGATGTCTTCAAACTTTCAGCAGCAGTCTGTTTTTTTTTTAAAGGAAACTGTATTGATTTTGGGTTTGGAAATTTGAATTTGCTAATTTTATATAACATATTGGTGTTCCTGGCATTCCTTATGAGTACCATTGTAAATATCCAGAGATGACATATGATGAAACGATCCAGAATCATTTGATTAATACACTAAGGCACGTGACTTTTCCAGAAAGAAAGTGTAGGCGGTGTGAGTAATAGTGAAGGAAGAGTGAGAGTTGTCTCCCCTCAAACACTCCATCTGTAGATCTAACTTGGACCGGAGGAGAAAATGTTCGATGGCGCAGACTACATTTTCCATGTAACTTGATGCTTCCATTCTTAGGGATCTTGTGTTCAGTTTTCTCGGGAGCTGTGATAAAAGAATGCATCTTTTCAACGGCATTTAGACAAAAAAAATCACACCACTATATAGTCCAATGTATGAAAAGTTTGTTTTATGAGTCATACAAAGAAGTTACAGTAGTTACACATTCCACTTGACTGTGTTATTATCTTATATTATAATACAGATATAATTTGATACAATTGAAATCTCAGAAAAAAGTCACTAATTACTTAAATCTAGACCTAGTGTAGTATATAGTTTAAGAAAGTCAGGCCTGATGATGCAGCCTAACTCATAATCTATTATTTATTATAGTTTTGATACAGAGTTATGTAAGTTAACTCTTAATCAGTTATGTTGCCTTTTATAAGTTGGTTAACGATACAGTATTTTAAAAGAAGTACTGTTAGGTTAATATCTCTGTTATGCACCCAATACCCATCCTCAAAGATGTACTGTGTTGTTACTATTACTATGTTCATTGATACTGTGCAGCATAATTCAGATTTTAAATAAATCATTAATGGAATGTAGATCAATTGTAGAGACATTACAGGCATAAAACACTGGCAAACTGCAAGTCTAATAATTCATTTTTTTATTCAGTAGTTTTGTTCACGAATCTGTCTATTTTTGGTGCTACAGTACATAAGACAATGAATTCAACAGAATAATTAAATATTGAACTTACACTTCTCTTGAACTTGAATGGTGGTGAAGATGGACTTTTAGAGGTTCCTGGAACATTGGATTCACCAGGTATACTTGTATTGTTCACATCCTTCCCAAGACGCTGATTATCCCAGGAGTTGTTTTTCAAATTCGTTACATTTTTTTCAAGTTGTGTTCTGTTGTAGATTCGCTGGTATAATCGCCTGGCCCGGGCCTTTTCCAAGAGGTGGCCCGGCCTTGGCTCCCTATCGAGGGAGTGTCTCAGACCAATGTCTGCCATGGGAGGAGGTACAAGTATCTCCTCGTCTTCTGGGACCAGCTGTCCCCAAGCCTAGCTCCATTCCCTGCCCCCACGGGGCTCGGAAGGGGAAGCTAGGCATCTTGGGCTCCCACCAACGCCGCCCACACTGGGCTCGAAGGGTGTAGCCGCTGCATAACAGCAAACGATATCAGGAGGTGCAAAGGCAGCAAGCACTACAGAATCCTTTTGGAGTCACACCCCAGCTTTGGACATTAAGCCCGAGCACTGGGGAAGCTCAAGAATGCCTCTTGCTGTGTGTGTTGCTGCTGATATTACTACACTTGTCCGTTGAACTCTGTTTTTTCAAGTGTTCTCCGAGTATTTCAGTTTATTAGTTGATTTTTGTACTGCAATGTCTGTGCTTCTGTTTATTTCCCTTGTCATTTTTAGTTTCCTCAGTCTCCTTTGTCTGCCTTTACTTGTCATAGTGAACCTATGGTGAAACCCTCACTGCTAAAAAAACACTGCCTAACTATTCCCTTCTGAATGGAATATTTATGCTTTATTGATTTAACAAGTCTCATCATAAATGCTTTCACTCTGGATTTCATCAGTTTTTGTGTAGCATGTCTCAACATGCAATATGTACATTGCACACTGGGGTTATTGTCAGGACAAGTTTCAACTTTTATGGATTCACATGGAATCTTAACATTTTTTGTCTGACATGTCCTAACATATTAGATGATTTGTAGAGCAAAACATTCATATTATTTTAATTATATTAAGACATACTTCAATATTATTCTAATAAGACATACGGTAGGAGCATTAGCAGTACAGTTCAGGAAGAGTGACCTAGTAGCGACCAGTGAAGAGGCGGGGCCAGGAGCTTGGACTCGACCCCTGCAACCTCAACTAGGTGAGTACAACTAGGTGAGTACAACTAGGTGAGTACAACTAGGTGAGTACAACTAGGTGAGTACAGTATTCATTGTAGAAGGTATATGAAAACAGCACAGAACTGTACACTACACTGGATATAAAGAATAAAAAGAATAAATATTTTATTTCTTTGTAAAGGTTACAATATGTAATTACAATTTTGGTTTACTAAGTACAAAGAAAGTCACTATCATGCCGGGGCATTTCTGGCAGACTGATCCTAGTACATAATAACTACTTAAATCTAGACAAGATAAGAGTGGTTAACTTTTATTAAAATCTCTATTTAATCTTAATATTCATGCGAGGTGGTCAATGTGAAGGTTTATAAGAACAATATTCTTGAAGTTGCACATAATACTAACAATATTACAATTATTGGTTCAAACAATAATATTTCATGATTGGCAGATGTTTAATAGACTAGAGGTCATATAATGTAATATAATAACTTATTAATAATAATAATTTTATTTACTACATGTACAAGGTATACAGTCCTGGCTGACATCAATGACATACTACTATATAGAAAGCCGCTTGTTATGCTGAGTATTTCGGGCAAATTAGGTCAGTTTTGTCCCAGGATGCGACCCACACCAGTCGACTAACTCCCAGGTACCCATTTTACTGATGGGTGAACATAGACAACCGATGTATAGAAACACACCCAGTGTTTCTACCTTTGCTGGGAATCGAACCCAGACGCTAGCCGCGTGAAGTGAGAGATTTAGCTACCAGGCCACGGGTGGTTAACTGTGGTTGATCCCCAGGCACAAATACCATAGGTGAAGTAGGGATATATTAATGAGTAGTAAAGGTAAGGAGTGTCGTTTGGCATACATAGTATCATATCTTTTCAAATTCAAAGTTTATTCTCTATAAGGATTACAATGCTGAGTTTACAGAAATTTGGTTATTGTGTGGTTTACATGTAGTAAAATAGTGATTACAGAGTGTACCACTAGAACGCTTAGCATGGCTAGGCATTTCGGGCAGACTTAGTTTTATTCTTAATTGTAAAATATTACAAATTATGAGGTAAGTTGGTATTATGGCTAAGTGACTAAATACTAGTTTGTGAGTTTAGCAATGTGAATGCTTTTGTTTTGGCACAGTACATAGTTTCAGTATTGGAGTATCACAGGATTCATTATTTTAAGATTGAGGTTAATATTTCTGTTTATGGTCAAATGAGTCAGTGAGTGTAGTGTGAATCACCAGGTGTATTCGTGTAGTTAGTGACGGGGTGTATCAGGAGATAATGTTTCTAGGGTAGTTTTGAAGGTGATGAATGTGTCTGCAGTTCTAGAGTTCTCAGGTAGGGTATTCCAGATTTTAGGGCCTTTGACATACATTGAATTTTTGTAAAGGTTTAGTCGGACACGGGGAATGTCGTAGAGATGTTTGTGTCTGGTGTTATGCCTGTGGGTTCTGTCACAACTATGAAGAAAGCGTTTTAGGTCAAGGTTGATATTAGAGTTTAAGGCCTGTAGATGTAGATTGCACAGTAAGTGTGGATGTACTGAACTGGGAGTAAGTTTAGGTCTAAGAAGAGTGGGGTGGTGTGTTGCCAGGGATGGGATTTAGTGATTATTCTTACTGCAGCTTTTTGTTGGGTTATTATTGGCTTTAGGTGTGTTGCTGCAGTTGATCCCCAAGCACAAATAGCATAGGTGAGGTATGGATAAATAAGTGAGGGGTTTATAGTGTGAGAAGGGCATTTTGCGGCACGTAGTATCGTATCTTGGAGAGGATCCCAACCGTTTTGGATACTTTTTTGGTTATATGCTGGATGTGGGTGCTGAAATTCAGGTTGTTGTCAAGGTATAAGCCTAGGAATTTGCCCCCATTATTTCTGGTAATTAGAGTGTTGTCAATCTTAATGTTAATTTGTGCATCTCCTGCTCTGCTACCAAACCTAATATAGTAGGTTTTGTCAGTGTTAAGCGTAAGTTTATTGGCTGTCATCCAAGTCGATATTTTAATCAGCTCCTCATTCACAATGGTGTTGAGGGTGGCAAGATTAGGGTGAGAGATGACATAAGTCGTATCATCAGCAAAGAGAATGGGTTTCAGGTGTTGGGATACGTTTGGAAGGTCATTGATGTATATGAGGAAGAGCAGGGGACCAAGGACACTTCCCTGCGGAACTCCAGTATCAAGTGGCCGTGTTGCTGATGCTGTGTCTTTAATGGTGACGTACTGATACCTATTAGTAATGTAAGATTTGAAATAAGCAAGCGCATGGCCTCTTATACCGTAATGATCAAGTTTGTGGAGTAGGATGTCGTGGTCTACTGTGTCAAAAGCTTTTCTTAGGTCAATAAAAATTCCTAGTGGATATTCCTTATTTTCCAATGCTGTGTAAAGCAGATCTAGCATTTTTATAATATAGTCTCCTGTGCACGAGTTTCTCAAAGATTTTGGATAGCAATGGTAAGTTAGATATTGGCCTATAGCTGTTTAAGTCTGTAGGGTCACCACCTTTATGTATTGGTGTAACCCTTGCATCTTGAGTAGTTTCGGGAAGGTGCTAGTCTCTAGTGACTTGTTAAAAAGTAATGAAATAGCATGCGAAAGGACATGGGCCGCTCGCTTGTACAGTAGTGGTGGGACATGAGACAGATTCCCCGAGTTATTTTTAAGTGACTTTATAATCTCAGTGACTTCCGTGGGCTCAGTTGGTGCAAGATAGAAGGAATTAGGGAAATTCCCATCTAGGTAGTCCCCGGCATGGGCATTGGTATGTGGGATTTTACTGCCGAGATTAGATCCTATGGTTGAGAAGAAGTCGTTTATCTTGTTAGCTGTGTCAGTGGGATGTAGTGGTGTTTCATTAGGTTTAGTTAGGACAATATTCTTGGTTTTTCTCAGTTTGTGGGTCCCTAGAATCTGAGAGAGTGTTTTCCAGGTCTTTTTCATATCTCCTCTAGTGTCTGTGAATCTGCTGGAGTAGTATAGTTGTTTGGCTTTCTTTATTACTTTGGTGAGAGCTGATGAATAGTGTTTAAGAATATCTTTGTGTATTAAGCCCTGTCTATATGCTTTTCATATTGGTGTTTCTTGTCAATGGATTTCAGAATGGTGCTGGTTAGCCATGGGCAACCAAGCCGTTTGTTTGTGATCTGTTTTGTTTTTATAGGACAATGTTTGTTGTATAGTCTAAGTAATTTGTTAAGAAAAATGTCTGTCCAGTCATCAATACCATTGGCCTTGGAGAATTCTGTAGGCCAATCAACAGTCTCTAGGTCAGCTGTGAACTTCCTTACTGAGGCCTCGTCATGGAGTCTAAATGAGACTTTGTTGTATTCAAGTGGTGGTTTACTAATGTTTGTCAGGAGGAAGGTAGGGTAGTGGTCTGTAGTGCTATCTGTGATTATCCCTGATTTAACACCTAGACCCATCACTGGCCAGTTAGAGATCTAAATACAAGGACTAATGGTATACTACTTCCCTGTGTGATGTTTGCATCCCATATCTTCCACCATCCACATGTAATTCTTAAGGTCCTGCAAATTTCCTGTCCCAATTTTTCTGCAAGGAACATTAATACGGGTTCCTAATATAAATTCAGGCCGAAACACCCCAATTTGGCCTTGGAAGATGCTGAGTTACATTACACAATTAAGTTCAGTGCTCACACGTTAAATTCAACATGGTGTCTCTCCCCCAGCATCACTATACAGTTCTTCCACATCTCCCTTCACTTAAAATTTCTCAACCTGGAGTTTACCTGGAGAGAGTTCCGGGGGTCAACGCCCCCGCGGCCCGGTCTGAGACCAGGCCTCCTGGTGGATCACAGCCTGATCAACCAGGCTGTTGCTGCTGGCTGCACGCAAACCAACATACGAGCTACAGCCCGGCTGATCCGGAACTGACTTTAGGTGCTTGTCCAGTGCCAGCTTGAAGACTGCCAGGGGTCTGTTGGTAATCCCCCTTATGTGTGCTGGGAGGCAGTTGAACAGTCTCGGGCCCCTGACACTTATTGTATGGTCTCTTAACGTGCTAGTGACCCCTGCTTTTCATTGGGGGGATGGTGCATCGTCTGCCAAGTCTTTTGCTTTCGTAATGAGTGATTTTCGTGTGCAAGTTCGGTACTAGTCCCTCTAGGATTTTCCAGGTGTATATAATCATGTATCTCTCCCTCCTGCGTTCCAGGGAATACAGGTTTAGGAACCTCAAGCGCTCCCAATAATTGAGGTGTTTTATCTCCGTTATGCGCGCCGTGAAAGTTCTCTGTACATTTTCTAGGTCGGCAATTTCACCTGCCTTGAAAGGTGCTGTTAGTGTGCAAATTAGGGTCCAAATAGCATCACATTTTAATACGCAGTAATTATATTAATCATTTATATGTTCTACATTTAGGAAATTATGTAAAAAAATGACACAGGGTATATTGCACTATACTAAAGCACTGTACATGGTTGATGTTGTGTTGAGATGCAGCTTACAAAGATTCAGTCAGACCAGTGATTTTAAGGAAATATGCTAGCTCTTGTTCATTTGTTATTTCAGACCTGTTTTTATATCAAATATTATTATTATTATTATTATTATTATTATAATTTGCAATTGTATAATTCTGCTAATACGTATGTACAATATATGTAAAAGTTCGTAAAACCATTATATTAATTAAAAAAAATTAAAAAGCCTTATTTATTTTAAGTGTTTTTGTAAAATACCCAGGTGGACTGTGTTTAATTTTTTTTAAACCCTGCTCTTGACAGGTTTTAAATTCTATAATTGCTACTGTGTCTAGTAGATGTGTTGATAGCAGCAGGTGAGCATAGATGGATTAATCTGGAAATGTGTTTCAGCGGGCATACAAACGTTATGAGGCGAGCATGCAGTTGATGGTGCTTGTAGAGGACCGCTATGGCCAGCTCATTGCTCTAAACGGCATGGCCAAAACTCTTGGACTCATGCGCCGCCAGTCAAAGATCTGTGACTGTCGCCCTCTTGAAATTAACAATAAAGTAATTGATCTGGCTTCTTCTCTTGGTTGCAAGGTAAGTCTACTATTGCCAGTGTCGCAAAAATTTGTATCGTTATGTTTAAGACCTATCTATGAAGATCATTAAAGCTGTAATCAACCTTACATCAAGGATACACTCATCACTAAAATAAGGAATAAAGCCTGTGTATATACCTCCAGATATACAGCTCTCATTTATATCCTGTTTATGCAGTGATTTTCAAAGATATTTGTAGTTTTATTAGTATTCACCAAAAAATGGTGAATCTTCACTTTATACTTTTAATGAGTTCCAGGAATTTTTCTACTCCCAGAGCCCAGCCATGGGCCAGGCTCATCTAGTTCTTGCCTGGTCAACTAGGCTGTTGCTACTGGTGGCCCGCTGACCCACGTATCCATCACAGCTTGGTATATGTAGCAATTTATTTATTTATTTAGTAATTTGAGCATACATACAGAGGTACAAAAAAATACAGGTAAGAGCAGCATGCCAAAGCCACTTGTATGCATAGCATTACGGGCTGGCTTAAAATTAACTTAAGATTAACTAAGCAATGATGTAATCAGTGATAAAACATTATTGTAAACAGATAACAATAAAGCACAAATGAGTATTACAAAGACAGGTCTTATGGTTGCATGCATTGCTGTACATTCAGTCGAATGGAGTATTCTGTTAGGTAGTGTATTTAAAAAATAACAAAGTTAGATTGGGTCTTAGGTTTAACATTTATGTGATATAATTGTGAGAAACATTTAAGATATACAATTTATAAGGTTCAGTTATTCAGTATTTATTTGGTTTTGGGTGAGTAAGTGATCTTTGAGAAGAGACTTGAATTTATAAACAGGTAGTGTTTCTTTTATATTTACAGGTAATGAATTCCAGATTTTAGGGCCTTTTATGTGCATTGAGTTTTTGCATAGCGTGATATGGACACGAGGAACATCAGAGTGATCTGTGCCTTGTGTTATGGTCATGTGTTCTGTTGAGGTTGGCAAGGAGATGTTTGAGGGGAGGGTTAATATCAGAGTTAAGTGTTCTATGTATGTAATAGGTGCAGTAATAAGTATGGATGTTTTGTATGGTGAGTAGGTTTAGTGTTTTGAATATTGATGGAGTGCGCTGCCTGTAGTGGGAATTTGTTATCATTCTGACTGCAGCCTTTTGTTGGGTAATTAGTGGTTTGAGATGGTTAATTGTTGTTGAGCCCCATGCACAAATTCCATAGGTGAGATAGGGGTAAATAAGAGAGTGATATAGGGCCAGGAGGGCTGACTGTGGAACATAGTACCGTATCTTCGATGGTATGCCTACGGTCTTGGAAATTTTCTTAGAAATTTGTTGTATATGTGTATGAAATTTGAGTCTATTATCAAGGTGGATTCCTAAGAATTTTCCCTCTGTTAGCTTTGTGATAGGTGATCCGTATATCATTATGTTAAGAGGGACATCTGTAGCTCTGTTACCAAACTGAATGAAGTAGGCTTTGTCAATGTTTAGTGTAAGTTTGTTAGTCCTCATCCAGGTAGATATTTTCTGTAATTCGGTATTTACAGTATTGGCTACCGTAACTGGGCTCGGGTGAGAGAAGACGTATGTAGTGTCATCTGCAAATAGTGTGGGTTTGAGTAATTGCGAAGCATTTGGTAGGTCATTTATGTATAGGAGAAAGAGAAGAGGGCCAAGGACACTTCCCTGTGGGACACCAACTGTAATTGGTTGTGCGGAAGAGTTTGCCCATTTGCGTACACATATTGGCTTCTGTTGCTGAGGTTGACTTGAGGTAGTTGAGGGAGTGCCCTCTTATACCATAGTGTGACAATTTTATGTGGAGCAAGTCATGGTCAACTTTATCAAAAGCTTTACGTAAGTCAATGAAGATCCCCAGTGGGACTTCTTTTTTCTTTAATGCAGTGTATATATGTTCTAGCATGTGTATAATAGCATCATTAGTATTTTTATTAGGCCTGAATCCAAATTGGCAGGGGTTGAGTATGTTTTGGGAGATGAGGTAGGAGTAGATTCGTTTATGAATTAATTTTTCGAAGATTTTTGAGAGAGGGTGTAAGTTGGATAATGGTCTATAGTTATTCAACTCTGTTTGGTCACCTCCTTTATGGGTCGGGGTGACCCTTGCTATTTTGAGAACTGTAGGGAAGGTGGAGGATTCAATGGATTTGTTAAAGAGTGTTGCAGTGATTGGCGATAACACTTGGGACTCTTTTTTGTATATAAAGGGTGGTAAGGTATTTAAATCTCCTGCCTTGTTTTTTAGTGCGTTGATAATAAGGGAGACTTCGTATGGGTTAGTCGGAGCTAGGAACAGTGTGTTCGGGTAGTTGCCAGTGAGGTAGTCATTTGGTGGGGTATCTGAGCTTGGGATTTTATTGGCAAGGTTTTGTCCTATAGTGGAGAAGAAATCATTGAGTCTGTTTGCTGTTTCTGTTGGTGGGAGTTGGGGTTCATCTGATTTTACTAATTTTATTTCGCTATTTCGTGATATCTTTTTTGTTCCTAGAATTTCTGATAGGGTTTTCCAGGTCTTTTTTATATTACCTCATAAGTTGGATAATCTGTTCTCATAATACAATTTGATGTCACTGTTCCCACCAGCTCCCCAGCACCTATGAATCTTTTGGTAGTCTTCATTTATTCTTATATGTACTGAATTAAAAAAAATGTGCTCAACTCGTGAAGGCATTGAGATACCTCAAGTCATCACCATTATTGTATTATATTCATATTCATGGAAGAGCTTTGAGCACTAATGGATACTTTCATAAATTTTATTGAATTCATTATCAGTGTATTTTTTACTACATGTATGCAAAGCCCAAGAGACTATTGATGACCTAAAAGACTTTTTAACTGTCATGATATACAGAATAATAATGCTTATAAAGATTATTATAAAGATTATTACATTCATGAAAAAGCTCTGCATTTTTTAGACTTCTTTTATACATATTGAATATAATTTTTTTACCAGCTTCATAATCAAGCAGTCATTTTTCATTTTAGTTATAAATGTGATTAAAGGAACCAAGTCTGTTAACATGGATAAAGTAAAATGATGTTTTTATCACAAGGATAAGAAAAGAACATCACATGCTGAATATATTTAAGCCACACAGCATTATCAGATAAATATCACCTAGTATACAGGAATTCTAAAAATTATACCCAGGCATATAAATTGCTTAAATACTTTACATTAGATTTAAATTTGCAATCCTAAAATATAATTTAGCAAGTTTTTACATGTTGATTCAGAAAAAAATGTTCCTTACATAAACCAAAAGAATTGCTGAGACATTCCAGCAGGACTTGCCTAGTATGTGCAATGTCAGTAAGCTTATTTAGGTACAGATACACACAGGTACAATTATCATACAAAGTGTAAATTACGAGGGCCTTGCTTATATCGTAGTTAGGTTCTGGGCTACTGCAGTAAAGCGAAAAATGCTCTGAAGCAAAGCATAGCCTTTATTCACTTTCAGATCTATATAAAACCCTAATAACATGTTTGTACTATCATATATTAAGTGAGTAATAGAGCTAGGCCTAAAATATGCATATGCAGTATACACGTTACTTATTTTAAAATATTTTTGTCCTTAGCTTATAGTGAGTGGTAAATATATTTATAGTAGGAAGTCTGAATAAATGAAGAATGCATATACAGTTGAAAACTGCTGCATTAGCAAAATGCTGTAAAACAAAGTGCTGTAAAGCAGGCCCCTCCTGTACCGAGGATAACCCAAAAAAGTCAGACAAAGTGACTTATTTCCATTGGAATCCTTGCATGTCAGTAATCCATTCACATTAAGGAAAACATAACTTTCACTTTGACATTTTATCTTCCATTGTTCTTCTAGTTGATCATGCGGTCAGCACACCTGCGTCTGGCTGAGCTTTACCGGATTCTCAATGATGAAGAGAATGATGCGCTTCAGGAACGCTTGGCATCGTGTCTTACTGAAGAGATGGAGTTGGTGTGTGGTGTCTGTGGGGAGAGATATGGTGACCAGGGTGGTAACTCCCTTGATGCTCTCCCCTGTGCTCACATCTTCCATGCCAAGTATGTCAACAGTAATTGATATCCTATGAATGCCATGCATAATGAAAGTACAAGACATTTGCAAGAATGTCATTATTACTGTGTTAACTACACTGTGATCTTTTTCTAATACGTATTTCAGTACGTGGTTGCATGGTGGGCTGTATCAATACTGATATGCATTAAATATGTCAGTACTGACATGCATTACATGTCAGTTTTGACATGCATCACTCATTTCTGATGTAAATTACATATCAGTACTGACACCACATATGTGTATCTACATTCTAATCATAGGCAGAGAGTCAAGTGTGAGTGACACATGGTGGCCAGAAATGTTTTCTAATAAAATACATTCTGTTGTTTGCTCACATGTCTTCTTAAACCCATTTGTTGGCATCAATTACCAAGTTTGTGTTTATATCATTTAATTATGAAATTTGGTTGTTTCTACAGCTACACATGATTCAGGCTTTGTATTGATGAAATATAAATTAGCATTTTTCTTTCTCAGTCATTGTCATAGCTGTGACTTCACCTTGTTTCCCTGTGTCCCTATTCAATCATTCTAATCCTTTCACACAGTAGATAAATTCAGAGTAGTACAGTACTAGGGGTGAATGATAATGGGGCCTCTAATTCAATTATGCAATAGGAAGAAATTTGATAATAGGTAATACTTATTTTAAGAAAAGATGATAAATGAGTCCGAGATGTAGAGTGTAATGACTGCAGTTTGCCAGATTATATATTAGTGGATAAAAGGTTGATGAGCAAACTTTTGAATGTGCATTTCGTTTTTTATATAGAACAACTGGTATGTCAGATCATTATTTAATCATAGATGCAGCAAGAGGCAGATAGGTTACAAGGAGAATGACATTGGTGGGTAAGAGAGAAGTGAAAGTATGAACTAAAGACAGACAATGGGAGATATGAGCAGCTGTTGAGATTGAAATCTTTATTTCCCAAAAAAACCCTATAAGGGTTCAGGCATACTAAGATTATACCTTATAATTAGGATTTTTTTTTTTCCTAACAAGTCGGCCGTCTCCCACTGAGACAGGGTGACCCAAAAAGAAAGAAATTCCCCAAAAAGAAAATAATTTCACCATCATTCAACACTTTCACCTCACACATAATCAGTCTTTGCAGAGGCACTCAGACATGACAGTGTAGAAGTCCCTCCAAACTGTCAATATCCCAAACCCCTCCTTTAAAGTGCAGACATTGTACTTCCCATTTCCAGGATTCAGGTCTGGCTAACTGGTTTCCCTAAATCCCTTCACTAAATATTACCCTGCTCACGCTCCAACAGCTCGTCAGGTCCCAAAACCATTCGTCTCCATTCACTTCTATCTAACACACACAGACACGTTTGCTGGAAATCCAAGCCTCTCCCCCACAAAACCTCCTTTACCCCCTCCCTCCAACCTTATCAGGACGACCCCTACCCCCTCCTTCCCTTACAGATTTATACGCTCTCCAAGTCATTCTACTTTGATCCATTCTCTTTAAATGACCAACCACTTCAACGACCTCTCTTCAGCCCTCTCAATAATACTTATAGTAACTCCACACCTATAGGAATAAGACTAGGAATAGGAATAAGACAGGGAAACATGCACCAACAGGGAATACAGTCACAGAAACCCAAGGCAAACGGAAACCAAGCCTGTGCACATACTATGTACTTGGTATCTGCAGACATGGGAAATCTGGAAAAACAGACAGGACGTGCAACTATGACCACCCTAGAAAATGCCATGCCCATATGACAACAGGAAAATGCAAACTCCCTTCCTGTGAGCTTTTTCACCCTGAAATGTGTACCTCTTCAGTACAGGAAAGACTGTGCTGTAACTTAAATTGTCAGGCACACCATCTAAAGGGTAAAAAAAGATACAAAACACCCAGGCCGGGGGAAAAACCTGGGTAGCCACACCCATCAAGGGGGAGGGGTTTTTTTGTCCCGGGGAAGGAAAAAAAAACTGGCAAAAAAATGGCAGAAATCTTCCCCAAATCTAGTCTTTCCCTGGAGTGGAACCACAGTCGATGGCCTCCACTCCAACCAAAGATCAGTACTAATGCCGGAAAAAAAATCCCCCCAGTACCAACAATACCACCAACCCGTAATTCTTCTTTGCAAATAAAAGGGGTTTCTAAAGCCAGCAACAAACAACAAATACTTTCATCCGGGACTGCTTGCAGGGCAAAGGCAATGTTCGGGGCTTTCACTGAGACCCACAAAAAGGATCCTTGGAAAAGAATAGGGATCCCAGGTTACACCTATACGAGTGACAGAGTGACAGGAAAAAGGGGGGGTTTTTGGCCTGTACATTGCAGAGTACTTGTTTGCCAGACTGCAAAAAATTGCCCAAATGATGTAGTGGAATTTTTAGCGAAAAAGGTCGAGAACCAAAAACCTAGTATTGTGGTTTTTTACAAGCCCCCGGATGCAACACCCCAGCAATTTCCCAGGAACGCTTTTTAAAAATTGACCACTGTCTGGAAAATCTTCCAGCTCCTGCCCCCAACATCTTGCTCCTGGGGGATTTCAACTTAAGGCACCTAAAATGGAGGAATATAGAAAAAATTTTGTTGCGTAAAACACCCGGAGGGAGCTTGATGAAAATCACACTCCACGAGTTTTAAATCTCTGACAAAATTAATTTTAAACCCGCAAATAATAGACCTAAGACTGGAGAATAACTAGACCTATCTTCACAAAAAATGTGATTTATAAGAAATGTCAATATCAAAAACAATATACTCAGATCACAACATAATTTGGGTTTAGAAAGTATGCATGGGCCCCCGACCGACATAATGAGGGGCTAGTCAGAGGGAGCTTCCCAAAATTAATTCAAAAACAAAAAAATAAAGTGGGACCAAGTAAACCAAATCCTAAAAAGTATAAGCTGGGAAGATATACTAAGCAACACGACCCCCAATTTGCCTAAAAGATTAACTTGGGGGCACTGATGTATGACAAGGCTTATTCCTAAGAAAAAGGAGGAGTAGATGTAAAATAGAAAGAGACAGGCGCCCTTTACAGGCAACGGAAAAAAAATAAAAAGGGCTGGGGGCAATATATTGAAATGCGTAGCGAGACATGGTCAGAGAAAAACAGCATTTAATTAAATAAAGGAACTTATGGAGTCAGGAATCGCGGAAGAAATAAAAGCCCTAAATGAAATCGAAAAAAAACCAAAGTATTTTCCCCATGCCAAAACAAAGTCGGAACAATGTCCTGTATTTGGGCCCACTTAAACAAGATGGGTCCCACCAGATGACAGCAAGGAAATGAGGAGTACTCAAATCCCGTTGATCAGTTTTTGCAAGCCGCTAACCAGATGGGTGAAATCAAAAAGAATTTTTTATGAGGGGGAAACCCCCAAAATTTGGTTAAAAAAAAGCCTATCCGATGTTATCCTGATGCCAAATGACTTCGAACAGGCGATAAATGACATGCCCATGCACTCTGCCCCAGGGCCAGACTCATGGAACTCCGTGTTCATCAAGAACTGCAAGAAGCCCCTATCAAGAGCCTTTTCCATCCTATGGAGAGGGAGCATGGACACGGGGGTCGTCCCACAGTTACTAAAAACAACAGACATAGCCCCACTCCACAAAGGGGGCAGTAAAGCAACAGCAAAGAACTACAGACCAATAGCACTAACATCCCATATCATACAAATCTTTGAAAGGGTCCTAAGAAGCAAGATCACCACCCATCTAGAAACCAATCAGTTACACAACCCAGGGCAACATGGGTTTAGAACAGGTCGCTCCTGTCTGTCTCAACTATTGGATCACTACGACAAGGTCCTAAATGCACTAGAAGATAAAAAGAATGCAGATGTAATTATGCAGACTTTGCAAAAGCCTTCGACAAGTGTGACCATGGCGTAATAGCGCACAAAATGCGTGCTAAAGGAATAACAGGGAAAAGTCGGTCGATGGATCTATAATTTCCTCACTAACAGAACACAGAGAGTAGTTGTCAACAGAGTAAAGTCCGAGGCAGCTACGGTGGAAAAGCTCTGTTCCACAAGGCACAGTACTCGCTCCCATCTTGTTCCTCATCCTCATATCCGACATAGACAAGGATGTCAGCCACAGCACCGTGTCTTCCTTTGCAGATGACACCCGAATCTGCATGACAGTGTCTTCCATTGCAGACACTGCAAGGCTCCAGGCGGACATCAACCGAATCTTTCAGTGGGCTGCAGAAAACAATATGAAGTTCAACGATGAGAAATTTCAATTACTCAGATATGGTAAACACGAGAAATTATATCTTCATCAGAGTACAAAACAAATTCTGGCCCACAAAATAGAGCGAAACACCAACGTCAAAGACCTGGGAGTGATCATGTCGGAGGATCTCACCTTCAAGGACCATAACATGTATCAATCACATCTGCTAGAAAAATGACAGGATGGATAATGAGAACCTTCAAAACTAGGGAGGCCAAGCCCATGATGACACTCTTACAGTCACTTGTTCTATCTAGGCTGGAATATTGCTGCACACTAACAGCACCTTTCAAGGCAGGTGAAATTGCTGACCTAGAAAATGTACAGAGAACCTTCACGGCGCGCATAACGGAGATAAAACACTCAATTACTGGGAGCGCTTGAGGTTCCTAAACTGTATTCCCTGGAATGCAGGTGGGAGAGATACATGATTATATACACCTGGAAAATCCTAGAGGGACTAGTACCGAACTTGCACACGAAAATCACTCACTACGAAAGCAAAAGACTTGGCAGACGATGCAACATCCCCCCAATGAAAAGCAGGGGTGTCACTAGCACGTTAAGAGACCATACAATAAGTGTCAGGGGCCCGAGACTGTTCAACTGCCTCCCAGCATACATAAGGGGGATTACCAACAGACCCCTGGCAGTCTTCAAGCTGGCACTGGACAAGCACCTAAAGTCGGTTCCTGACCAGCCGGGCTGTGGCTCATACGTTGGTTTGCGTGCAGCCAGCAGCAACAGCCTGGTTG